ATGCTAGTGGGGATATGGCCTAAATCTAGGTCCATGTCATTGTTTCTAACATGTTACCTTTTTATAGACAGTTTTAGATGTAGGAGAAACTTTCAAAGAGATGATTCTGCATTTTGAAATGATAGAGCTCCAGAAGAAATCTATATATTTTTCTGTAATGTTCTATTCTGATAAAACAAGTTTCTGATTTGTCTGCTAATTATTGTTCCTTTTGCCTAAGTTCTAGGCACTGCTTTGAACAATAAAGAATGGATTACACATGCAGTATCATTTCTGAAAGAAATAGAATCACCCGTAATTGTACAAAGTAGCATGTGCGCCTTCAAGACATTGCATGTGTGCTGCACACATTGAATTATGGCATCTGCACAAAATTCATTTGTTCTGTGATTTAATTATTTGACTTGAAAGTTATAAATGTACGTTTAGCCATTCCTGTATTTTAAAGGTGAATAAAAGCTACTGGGTCCGATTCAAAGTTGCTTAGTCTTTATTGTTTTCAGCTAAATAAAAAGGCTTGATTCTGGGAATTATTCTTTTCTTTCCTTTCAACCTCTTGAAATACCCTCCCATTTGCCAATTTGTCCAAATATGAAACAGCTGCCTAGCTGCCTTACCAAAAAGATTTTATTGTTAAAATAAAAGTAGATTTTGTTTCGGGAAAAAAGAACACACATATTCTTTGTAAAACTCATGTTTGGTTTACAATTAGAGAAAAGTCACATGGTCCCCAAAAAGCCAAGGGTATTTTTTCTACATATATATGTATGTATATGTGTATATATATACATATATATATATGATATTTAAAAACATAAACATCTATATTTAAACATATATTATATGTTAATCAGTACATTTAAATATAGCTTAATTATATTTACAATGTGATGCAGATCTTGTAAGATTTAATGCCAGATTCATTTTTTCCAAAAAAGTCCCATAAAATTATATAAATATACAATAAATATCTGTTATACATGGAGAATAAGAGAGAACAAGGCCACAAACATTAACTTACATTTCCAATTTTTTTCAAAACAAAACAATAGGGCCAATGACAATGAAATATTTCCGCCACAGACAAAACACAGCAAAACGTCAACTGACTGACATTTTTGAAATCTCAGTTCCACTAAAACTGCCAAGTCTGTTGTAGTGTATTTTGCAATAGTAGGTCTGGCCTAGACTAACCAATGGGTGTTAAAAATAGTGATGGGGCCGGGCATGCGGGGTGTGTGTGTGTGAGAGAGAGCTTAAAAATAATTGCAATGTTTAGGAAAATAATTCATGAAATGACAATTTGTTGCATAGCAAATTTCTTTAATGTTTCTGTACCCTAGTAAAGATCTGTGACTATTTGCACATTTCAAATGCAGCTATCAGTCTATGTTTACTACTGTTAGTTATATGAAATGCCCCTTCATATTACGTTCCCATTCTGTGATCCTCAAGCCTCATCCTTGTTGGATAAAATGGGAACCCTACAGCAACTAGAGGAGGTTAGACTTTAATTGGAAGGTTTATAAGCTTATACCATTATGTGTCTCATTGTCTATTCCCCAATGTCTTGGTTGGCATCTTATACTCAGAAAAGTTGCTGCTACTGTTTCTATTATTATTTCATAACCATTAGGGAGATATTTCTTTAATGTTAACTAATTCTAGATATTTCTAATTGCATCTTGGTTAATTCATTTCTTTTTACTGTTAAAAATTAAAATGAAATAGCAACATTTTCAGTTCAGAGTAAGATTGTGCCTATCCAAAATCACTGTGGATAGCAAGATGGGTGGCATATAAATTTAATTAATAAATAAAATAAATATGTTCTAGATTCCCCCTTTCACAGGTCACACTAATAGAGCATATTTTATATGCAATGTTGATTATGTTTAACTCTTTCAGACTGCAGACTAGAGTTGTTGCTCATCATTTAAGGGAATTTGGATGGCTTATTTCAGAAATCCCTATTCATGTGGCAGGGTTGGAGGGAAATGAATTGTTTTTTTATGAATATGATGATTTTTGAATCTGTGTACTGTAGTTAAGAAGGTTATGTAAGAGTGACACAGAGAAAGAAAATTTAAGCTAATAGATTAAGAAAATCAGGATATGGAAATATCTCAAGAGATTACAAGGGTTCCTTTCTATTTCTGCTCTCAATTGTGTGAACAAAAAAGACCTTCTTATGTGGAATGGTTTTATGCAATCTTTTTATTTATTTAATAGGGATTTTTATAACAGATATTATTTTCCATTTCATAATAAGATGGCATTATTATTATTATAGGTCTAAAGGAACAGGTTAAAGAAAGGGATGGTCATAGGCTGGACAATGTGAGTCAGCTCCAGCTACATCTTCCCTTATGAAAGATAATGTTCTATCTGTTTTGCTTCAACAACCATTTGGTTGCCTGACTTTAGGCAGATATTGTTGAATAATGAAATGGTATTTACTGCTTAGTGTCATTGATCAACAGCATTGGTTTACTTTAATACTAAACTCATGCCTAAGGACAGCATGTACAGTTTAATCAGAATCAATCCTATTTTTCAAATATTAGAAGCCAGTAAAAAGCTTTGCTATTTTAGTTTTTTTTTTTAAGAATGCAGTATATACTTAAGATTTTTTCTATGTCCACATTTTCTTCTTGATAACTCTACACTTGCATATTAATGATATGGGATGACTAGTTTCCATGATTAAAGTAACAATTCCAATAGTGGAATTACAGTAGCTGCTACCTAAGTTACAGATGCTTTAAATAAGACATATTCTGAGATCTTAATCTTTAAAAAACACAGATTTTGGTCAAGAAATATTATCTTAGTTTTGCTAGCCTCATTCACTCAAACACTTAACCCCCCCCCAAAAAAATCTATGCCTAAACTGTATTAAAGACTGAATTAGGCTTCTCTAGCTCCTCCTCCCAGGAAACTACTAATCAAAGAGTAGGGCTTTTGCTTAGCCTTCTTGTTGACTTTTTAAGCAGGTTGTCCTTCAGAAATGGAGAGGGAGGTATTCTATCTGCAGTCTGAAGTGGTACAGTCCAAACTTCCTTCACCTATTTATATGTTTCTCATATCAAATATTTATTTGTAGCAAAACAAATCATCCTGGAAAGCATGCCTTGTTGCTATGAAATAATGCTAGATACTAAATAACATTGTTATTACATGGATCATATGAGAAGTGCTCTTAGGAAAAAATGCACTTCTTCAAACTTCTTGCAAGAATAAAAATACTTGTATATATTAGACTAATTGACTATTTGTGTTCTGGGTTGTGTTGGATTTGTTTATCATTATCCATGGCCTAAGGCTTTAATTCTGTGGTCAGCTCCTTGCATGTGCATCCCACTGAAATCAGCTATAATTAAAGTGCATACAACCGATGCCAGGTTTGTATCCCATCGTTTAGGGATTTTAAATCAAAGCTCCCTATAGGAGTTAAGGCTATTTTGTGCTACCCTTTAGAAAGACATAGATGCATATAGCCATATTTAAAAGCAACAGGTAGTTAGGTTTTGAGGTAGAAGGCTCTGACTTTCTGATTCCAGAGCCACTCCTTGCAGCCTGAATTGTTTCATAGTACAGAAAGCCGATACTTGAAAATGAAAATATTCTAGACATTACTTTTATTTTAAGAAGATCAGGCTGTACTATGTATATTATATTTCATGGATCTCCTTTACAGTTTCACTGAGTTTCCATGGGTGCTATTCAGTTGAGATTACTACACCTGCCATTGCGAACAGAAGCCAATTAGCTATAAACCCTCAGTAAGTGCTGTACAGTGCTATAATTACAATAATAATGGCATGTTAGCCATTTTTGCACAAATATGATCAGATGTTCAGTTTACTTTTCCTTGGGATTTAATAATGTCATTTAACAATACTGGTTTTCCAATCACAATAAATTAGTTGTCCTGATATAACCCTGGCTGCATGGCCAGTGAGTCTCCTATGGGGATATGATTCTCCATCCCCATCAATAGATGTACCTATTAAAGCTTGATAATATCTAGCATCAAGTATAATGGATGCATATCAATGTGTGGTTCTTCCATGTTTGATTGAAATATAATGTTTGTTCTCAATACCTTGGGAGATGAAAAAAAAATTACATCTGAAAGAGACTATGATGCTTTTGCTTCCCAAGATAAAAAGACCCCAGATGCAACCCGAACATGAAACAATATCTTAGAAGCCAGCAACTGTCAACCTGGTGACCTCCATATGTGCTGGTAATGCAGCTTTAAGTGGGGATTCTGGGAGATGCACTCTCCACATAACTAAAGGGTGGAAAAGGCTGTTACAAGCAAAATTCAAGGAATCCCCATGGTCTGTAACCACAATGGAAGGGTAGCTTGTAGTGTAGACTAGAAAAGAGCACTGGGCAGAAGATCAACATTGACTTTTTTTAGTTGCCTCTTCTTTATTATTTTTTTCAGTAGTCTGATTTGATATTGCAAACACCTTCACAACATACAAAAAAGAAACAAAAAAATCCCATATTTGTTTCTCCAGAACATATATGTCAATGGCAGGGAGAAGGGTCTCTCCTATTTTCAAACCATGTGGGAATTTTAAACTTAAAAAAAAAAAAACGTCAACAGGAAAACTATGACAACAGCACCTTGACATTATTTTAATTCCAACGCTACCAGAATTTAAAAGCAGTTAACAGATATAATACTAACAGGAATAAAGATACTTACTGTCTAAAATGTAAACGGAATGTTTTGGTTCAATTTTTTTTTTTGGAGAAAGAGGACAGTTTATCATCAATTCACAATTGAAGCAGCATGCAATTTTATTTTTTTAATTTTTTTTAAGTTTTCAATTCTTGGCAACGGCAACAAATCACAATGTTAGAGGAATGTAATGCAATTTTGTTTGTTTTCAAAGTTGTGCGCAAATGGATTTTTTTTTCCTTTTGTTCCCTTTTAGGTAATGGACATGTTCAATAAATAGATTGTGGAACCACGGTACTGTATAAACTTCCTTTATACATGCAGTCCATAAAATTATTTTCTTTCTTACTGAATAATTTACCCTGTTATGTATATATACAAATAGATAATTTTTGTCTCAATATAATCTATCCAACATGAATCCACTATCTTCCCCTTTTTATGGTCAGTGTACAAACACAGGAAGTGTCTATTCTTATAAAGCGCCATCCAACTCTCTTTTTGTTATCCATGGTGAGAGCGCGGACGTAAGACTGAGTAGTTCGGCACTGGGAATTCCAGTACCTCTTGTCTATGCCCCTACAGCCTTCTTTTGCATAACCCTTCGCGCTGCACTTGGTCTCATAAAAATATTGCTTCAGTTGGCCTTTGGGCACTGGGACTTTTTCCAGGACTGTAACCGTTGCTCCGGACATGTCTACTGCAGTCTTTTTTTCAGCTGCTGTCACCCACTCACTAGTACTGTCACACACGCTCAGCTCCCCACGACGAGCAGGGTCAGAATGGCGCCGGACCCTCATGGACATGTTTGCAGCATCCAAGTAGTTTTTATACTCCTCAAGCAGGAAAAGCAGAGGAGGCTCCAAAGGCACTTGACTGCTTAGCATCACTCGTGATGAGTACAAGTCTGCATCCTTGTTTTCCTTGCTGGGCTGAATGACCTGCTGTTCATCCAGGAGCTCCTCAATGACGTGTTCAAAAGTGTCTGCCAAAGATGTTAATCCTCTGGTGGCATCATTGGGCCCACTGAGGGTCTCCAGATTTCCCTGTGTCCGAAGACCAGGATAAGCCAAGCTGCCTTGTCCTCTGATACTAACTTCCTTCATGGGGGCAGCTTTCATGCAACTCAAGTATGAAATAACCATAGTAAGGAAAAGGATGGTCATCACTCTTTTCACTTGGTGGAACTGTTCAAGAGAAGAAAAAAGAAATGGAAAATAAATTGAAAACAAATACATTTTTTTTTTTAAAAAAAAAGCGTGAGCGACAAAGATATACATCAGTTGTTTACTTTTCACAATAGTTGGAAAAAGCTAGACATTTATTCATCTTTCTATGATCTGGTACTTTCAAGATGGATTGGGACAGCAACTCTCAGAATTGCAACTCATCACAGAATGTTCACTGGCAAAATTTCCATGAGTTGCAATCAAATACATTAGGAGGGCATCGCATTGGGGAGGATACATAATAAACCCATCCACTATTAGAACATGGATGACCCAACCTGAAGTTTTATTCAGGATCTGGTTCCTATAGGACTATACTAGCATGGAGGATGTGGAGGGACTTTCAGCACTAGGAATTCATATTTGGTCACAAAGGTTGGAAACTCTGGATTAACACAGATAATAGAACTACAGCCTGGTTTAGAAATTAGATTGACCCATGATTTGTTTAATAGTGGTGTGTTGAATAAATCAGAGTTAGTTGGATTCACTCAACATACTTAAGACATACGCCACGGTTCACAAACCCCAAAGGCAGGATCCAAAACCAAACAAATTGCATCATGGCTTCTTGCAGTGTTTGAAATCAGCTCAAATACTACTCTATTCTAATCACTATACAATAGTGTTTCCCAGTTTTATTTTTTAATATCATGTATCAAATGCTGTCATTTAAAATAGCTATCTACAGCAGATGCTCTTGATTGGAGTATCCTGCTAGGAACAAGTTAAAAATGTTTGCCTAGAAGTCCCAAGGCCTTTGTGGAGAAAATGTCACACTTTAGGCATGATAATTAATTATTCTCTATTTGTATGACAAGTGTTAACAGTATGTTTGGAAAGGTTACCAAGCATCTGTGATACACTTGGAGTAATTGGAAAAAAATCAGAAAATTATTGTCTTTTGCAGGAAAATCTCAGTTTGGAGTTTGAAATTATATGAACTAATTCTGCAGAAATAAAAGTAACATTACATCATTTTAAATGGAAAAAGATATTATAAATAGAAGAGCCAATAATACTATATTACACCTGATCTGCAAACAAACAAAAACATTGAGGGACATTAGCTGCATACAGATTCTACCTATAGGTCAATCAGATTCTATAAAATTTTCAAGCATTATCTTCAGACAAGACTTTTTTACAATGACCACTTTTACACCAATCCCAATAATAAACAAAAGTAGACAGTGTCATTATAAGTCAAAAGTTATGTTAAACAACTCTGCATTTTAGTAATTTCTAGGAATCTAATAAAGTTGAAACTGTTCAAATTTTAGAAGGCAAGAAGTTCCATCATATAGGTCTTTATCCCTCTTAACTCATGGCAAAAAAATCTATTAACAGATTCCTCTTAGTTTTGCATAAACTGAGTTTATACTGGGTGAGAAAACAGCCCTGCAGATACAGTATACCTAGGTAGAACTCAGTTTAATATGTAAATAAACCACAGCCTGTATAAACTGTGATTTGAGCTAAGCATTATGTGCGCAAATCAAGCCATTGAGACTTGTTTAGCCAACCATGCCTGAAACAAATCAAGGTTGAACATAATGAATCTCTTTATTTGTTGTTCGTGGAATTACAGTGCAATGACACAATGTTTTTTGTTATTTTTCAATTTTTTAAAAAAATCATTCTTTGTTTAATTTTCCCTTTCTAATTATAGAACACTCAAAGTAGCTAATAATCTCTAGTTATATACCAAAGTTGAGATACCTCTACTCAGACTGTGTGTTCCAGGGTACCCTGGGTGAATAGAAGCTGATACTACTTTTATATTATACAAAGTTAAGCACAACTGCTTTCTACTAATTTGAATGCATGCTCACTACTTCTGAACAGTTGTTTACAGTTTCTAAATAAATGGATATGACAGATGCAGATGTTTGGATACTCTTTCAGTCAATACTTTGTAACACTTCTTTTGGCAAAAATAACAGCTTCCAATATTTTCCACAGCCGGCCAAAATATTTTTACTTTTGGCATTTTCCCTACTGTTCCTTGCAGAACAATTCTAGCTCAGAAATATTCTTATATGCCTTGAATACCCCCACGTGATTTTCAAGTCTATAAACTATGGAAGCTGTTCCAAAACCTTTTCCATTTTTTCTAGAAGCGGATTTGAAAGATTACTGTCTTGTTGAAATAGCCAACCTCTTTCTAGGTTTATTTTTTTCATTAATTATGGAACAGCTTGAGAATCAAGAAAAATCACTGGTAAAATTACCCCAAGCTGAAAATACTTGCAAAACAGAACCTACACATTACTATAAGCAATGTCCTGAAAACTTTACCTGACACTGGAGTAGGTATCCACAGCTCCACACAACAGTGTTGCTTATACAATGATCTGCATGGGAGAATTGTCAGAAGGAAACCTCACCACAAAAACCATTCTCTAAATTGTGCAAAAGAAAACCACAAGAAACCTGAAATATTTGGGATCAAACTACTTTGGAAAAATGAAACAAAAATTAAACTACATAGGATACATCTGGAGAAACAAGGCCTAAGTACTAAAGAAAATAATATTTTGCCAACCATTAAGGACAGGGGATGGCTGTATTATGCTTTGGTATTGTGGGACAACCAAATCTTCCTCTGATGAGTTTAGTAAAGAAAGGTGGACATAGAATGCAGAACAAATGTAGAAAGACTTTTATCTGATTACAGAAAACTCTTGGAAGCTATTAATTGTCCCCAAAAAGATCTTATAAAATTCTAACTGGAAAGATTTTATAAACTTTGATAGCTGCCATATCCACTGTTTTCTTATTTTGATAAACAACAGCACATAGGGCTTAGCTACACAGCCTAGGAGGGTACATGTAGATAAAAATACGCCATTTAATATTTTCTGAAGACCTGTCATCCAACAGAGCTTTGTTCTCATAGATAGTCTACTGCCAAAGTAGGCAGAAGCCAGTCCAGCATGGTCCAGCATGAAAGCATGTTCGATCTGGAAAAATGGAAGATCTCCCATCTGGACAATCCATGGTGCATTGAAGAGAAGACATGGTAAAAGGTGATGACCAGCTCCAGCTGGCCTTGAAAATCAACTAAAACAACAATATTGTTTTAGTTGATGAACAGAATGGAGTCCTGGCTCTCCTAGAGTAGTTGACTCATTGTCAACCCTGAAATTGGCTTGCCCATTCCCAGTTTAATATATGTAATTGAAAGGACTCAACCTTCTACTACTGTAGCCTGTGCAGTGGGAAATTCTTGTTCTAGGTTACCATTCTTGGGGAATCCCTAAATCTTTGCTTCCTCTCTTCATTTAGAATATCATCTAATATAGATCTGGCTTCAACATATAGTCATTTATTCCTCTTCTCCTATCCTTTTGGATATGCAGAGCTTTATGCACACTGATTTGACACAAGAATCAGCAAAGAGATTTCTTAGACTTCAGCTTTTCTACAACGCTTATCCAATGTCTGCATTTTGGCTGCAAGATCTGGATGACCACTATTTGGCAGTCAAGAAGAACAAAAAGTTCAACATTTTCCTATTTACTAGTGGTTGAAGGCCAACTAGTCAATAATCATCGGAAAAATTATGCAGAAATACCCAAGTGTACTCAATGCGAAAAACACATCTTGCACAGACCAAAATCATTTTCTTGAACTCCACCACCAAGATCATTTATGCAGCACCCGCATAAATCCAGGGAATTACTACACAGCAGTTATGACAGATAAATTCTTTGCAGCCATCTAGTGGTCTGGCTGATAGGTTGAGTGTTATTTGGGAGAAACACAAATAAAAAAATATATATTGGGTGTGGTGGCTGAACCTTGGAAACACCACTTTGGTACATTCTGTCCAGTGACTGGAGGAAGGTTTTCTTATGGTTGGTGATTTTCAAATTTTAGTTAAGGACAATTGCCAATCGTTGCCATTACAGTGTGTGTGAAAGATCTATATGAGCATGGCCCCATTCCTGATGCCTATTTATTTATGAAATGTGTATGGTCTCTCATCTTAAACAAATGATCTGGGGTGGCTTATTAAAGACATATTGTGGGTACAGCTTGGTCTATCTCCATGTGATTTTTCAGCTCTGGAATGGGAAGAAAGCATGGCAAAGTGATTGTGCAGATAAACCCACAAACGTAAGTATCAGTCTAAATTTACAAAGCTTAATTTTGAACCTCACAGAGATTGTGTCAGGTTCTGTTTACTTACATGCTCAGTGAAACTCTACCACCACCCTGCCTAGCATCTCAGTGAACTCTTTCACAAGAAAGTACTGTCCTAATCCACGAATAACATCAAACATTTTTCTCATCAACCACATAGACAATAGAGGGCATGGTTGAATGCTGTAATCAATTAGTGTATGGAAGGCACATTCTGTGACTTGCCAGCTTGGTAGTGAGCTTTAACAGAATAATAGAGTTGGGAATGGACCTTGGAGGTCTTCTAGTCCAACATTTCAGACAAATGGCTGTCCAATCTCTTCTTAAAAACCTCCAGTGTTGGAGCACCCACAACTTCTGGAGGCAAGTTGTTCCACTGATTAATTGTTCTAACCGTGTCAGGAAATTTCTCCTTAGTTCTAGGTTGCTTCTCTTCTTGATTACTTTCAATTCATTGCTTTTTGTTCTGCCTTCAGGTTCTTTGAAGAATAGATTGACACCCGCCCCCCTTTGTATTAGAGCACCTTATACTTTTCAGCCACTCTACACCTTCACCTCATTTCCTTGGAAAAATAACTGCGGAGTGTAAGACCACTAACTCAGTAGGAATTAACTTTTTGATTTCATACCAGATAGCCTGACTAGGACAATATGATTTGTCAAAATATACAGAATGAAAATGCTCAGTTAATTATCTGGGTTTCTTGCTCAGCTAACTAGACTTAAGGAAAAAAATACACTCAAGGAAACTGTAAACATCTTATTCACAAGTCCATGTACTTGGACTTCCCTAAACTTGT